AAGCCGTTGAGGATGCATTGCAATACATCAAAATGTATGTAGCAGAAGTTTGAACCAAAACTGCCAAGGGATATTTTAAAAATGTCGAGGAACAAGTCATTCGACGTCAGAGCAAAGTCTGGAGCAATTTATAGTGCTTCTAAAACTGAAAAGTACCTTTTAAAGAATAGCACGATAGGCAATCGGCTTCTGTTTTCAGAATTAGCAAACACTGAATTTACTTGTCCCAAAAATTGAAACTGGTGTCTCCTTCTTCCTGATAGTAATTTATTTTTGAAATTCCAAAACAATTTCACAGCTGAATTTTGAGCGACTTTTAGTTACGGACTTCTGCTCCAACGATTTTTCTGAAATTCCTCTGGCATATTTATTATATCAATTAAAGCCGATACCAGAATTTTCAGTAAAAAATATCAGCAAAATTTTTTACTAGGCGCGATTTTCTTTGAACAGTAGGGTCCTTTTAAGCGCTAATTTCTCAAGAAATATTTACCATCAATGAAATCGGAATATTTCGTATTATTGCCGAATGATATCTGTTGTTCTTTGCAAAGTTTCGCAGCCATCGCGTTAAAATCGAAAACGTTATGACGGAAAATTTGTCACAGCTAAATGCTCTTGTATTAATTACGGAGCCACCTTAACCTTTTATGTACCACATATACAATTTTGGACAGAGAAGGTATCCCTTTCGTATACCCTCCATTGACATATGATACCTCTTTTGCATACCAAGTTTATGACCCTGCATCGCTTTCAAATAAATCACTCCCATGACTACACCAGGAAGTTTTCTTGATTACATCAATAATATACATCTATTAGCCCTTATGGGTATACAGGCAACCCAAATTACAGATTTCCCAATCCTTTCAAGGCTTCCGAAATCTGGTCTACCCTTTTAACATGTTTTTTATACCTGAAGCTTGTAAAAGTTACCCCTTTGGGGCACGAATCCTCCCCTTTAAATTAAGGCCGCTATAGGGAGTAACCCCCAGGGATAAATCATAAGCTATGGTTTCATTTTTAAAGAGAACTACAAAGTAGAAACGCCATTGCAGGGTTAACCTGATACCCCTTGGTGATGAGAGAGAAAAGGAGTAGTAATTTGTTTTGTCTAACAAAGCAGGGTTAACCTCTCGACCTCCGAATCCGTTTTTTGGGCTCTTTGAATTCCCCTAGCTTGGTAAAAACCATTAAATAAATTATAAATCTAATTAACTATTAAGACCCTGACCGGAGGGAAAGCAAACTCTTATCCACTGTGACTAGGAAATAGAGAGAGAGGGGGGGGGGAATTAAATCCCGTATGGGATCCCCCCCCGTTACAGTAGTAGGGGAAGGGGATTAGGAGGAAGGCCGGACATAACATAACATAACATAAAACTTTATTTAAACTCGAATTTTAGGGTAGCTAACAAGCTAATATCTTCGAGCTGACACTACATAAAAACTATATAGAAAATATATATATACATTAAATGCAAGGAAAGAAAATATCATTTACAATTCACAATTTTAAGTTTAAGTATGTCAGGCAAAAAGAATCTACATGAAGGTAACATCCTGTATTTTAGTCTTAAAGTCTGCAAAAAAAAACTGGTACGAAAAAAGTCCGGCAGTGCATTCCACTGCTTAGCTGAAAAAATAAGAAAAGGAGTTAAGACCATAGGTAGTTGTTTTAGGTTTACTTAGTGAAAGAATGTAGTTGCCACGAAGATCATAGGTAGAGGACCGGGTGAAAACATATTCTTCATATAAGTAGGAAAATGAGTGAAAAACAAACTCTTATATAACAGAATGAGGAAATTTTGAATGCGTTTGTTAAACAAAGAAGTAGAGCTGACTTTTGAGAGAAGAGTGTTGTATGGAGACGAGTAATCTCAAAGTATAAATCTAAGTATTCTTTTATTTAAAGCTTCGAGCTTATCTGCATCGCGCGCTCCACAAAAGTGCCAGACAGAGGAGCAATAATAAAAGTGAGGTAAAATATACGCTTTGTAAAGTTTGAATAAGATTTCCTTGCGTATGAGTTTTCTAAAGCGCAACATAACATTAAATTGATTATTAATCTTTTTTGCATACATTTGATATATGTTTAGAAAAATTCAGATTATTATCTATTTCCATTCAAAAATCTCTAACGTGTCCTTTACTGGGAAGGAAAAACCATACTCCGTATCACCGAGGATTAGACACTGGTGCTTGCTCTCATTAACTAACATCCCATTTTCATGGTACCACTGATTGGCCACGCCAACATCATGAGATACGCATGCATCCAGAGCTGCCGGATCGACGTGGGAGTAGTATACCTGATGATCATCCGCATAAGCGTTCAACTTGGCCTTCTTGACGTGGAAGAAAAGATCGTTTATGAAAATGTTGAATAGCATGGGACCTAACACACCCCCTGCGGGACCCCACGCTTGACGCTTTCCCAGGTCGAAAAGGTGTCTCCAACTTTAACTCTCTGAGTTCTGCTAGAGATAGTTCCTAATTAGGGCACAACTTTTGTCGTCCATACCATAGGCCCTCAGTTTCGAAAGGAGGAGTGGATGCTGAATAACATCAAACGCTTTGGAGAGATCCATAGAAACTACCGCAACAAGCTCCCCCTGTCACGCATCATTCTCCAGTCCTCGGTCAACCTTAGCAAAGAGGTCTCGCAACTATAAAACTTTCTATAAGCGCTTATGAAGTCTGATAAGACCCCATTGTAAAATTCATACATCTGCCCTGATAGAAGCCTTTCAAAAATATTGTTTAGAGCAGGGAGCACAGTTACGGGCCTATAGTTGATCTTACAAAACTCGTCGTCTTTTTTGTACAGAGGAGTAACCATGCCCATCTTCCAGCTAGCAGGATAACAGCAATGTTCAATGCAACAGTTTATTATACTTGTTATAGGCCGCGCAATAACAGCTGCCGCTTTTTAATCAACTTTGGTGGGATCATATCGTGACCAGGTGACTTACGTACATTGATCTCTTTTAGTAATAGCTCAACCTGGGTTTCACTTGCGCGATGAAAACTGAAGCAAGCTGGAGCACTAGAGCCCCTGTGTTCATGGATTGCTTTGATGCTGGGATGATTTGCATAATCCTCACCGTAATCCTCTGCTCGTATTTCAGGCATGCTGTCAGCAATGTGAACAAAGTAGTCATTAAGCAGATTGGCAATCTCCTTTTTGTCACTAATAATCCTGTCATTTTCTTTCAAGATAATGTCATTGGCTTGCTTACTTTTAGTATGCAAAAAGGGGCGGAAAGTAGACCAGAATTCGCGCGGGTGTTCGGTGTCTGCTGTTTTCCTCGCGAAGTGTTGTTTTATTGCTTTTCGCCTAAGAGATGTGCAGGTATTACGTTGAGTTTTGTATGCCTCGTAATTTGCATCAGTACGATTGCGCGTGAATTTTTCCACAGTTTGTTGCGATGCCTGATCGCCCTCCTCCATTGTTCCGTCATATAAGGCACCTGATTACCACGTATCATTGTTTGCTTGATAGGTGCGTGTTCATTGAGAACACTTAGAAACAATTGCTCAAAAGCATAAAGCTTATCATCAAGTTCATCAAACAAATCAATTATGTGGAAAGGCACAATTTGCATATCATGCACAAAGTTCTCTCGACTGAAGTTTTTCAGACTACGAAAACAAATCTTGCGAGATCGAGTCCTTGGTGCTGATGATCGCAGGATAGTATAAACTAACGAATGATCACTAAGTTGCGTGTCTACCACGCCTGATGTTAAGACCTTTTTCTTGTCATTCGTCAGGATTAGGTCCAGCAGTGTTTCAGTTGTTTTTGTTGTGCGAGTTGGTTCCGTAATCAAACAATCAAGATTAAAAATATCTAGCAGATCTAGTAGAGCCCGACCGTCTCTGTGTTGTTTATCAGGAGCAAGAAGGTCCGCGTTTAAGTCTCCTGCTAGGAAAACCGTGTTTGTGAGAGGAAAAGAGAGGAGGGCGCTTTTCTCGCTTTTCACTCGATGTGTGCTGCAAGGTATCTCTGGGCAAAAGCTTAAGCCCCACAGTTCCCCGGCTCCGCTGTCTTTGTACTGAAAGCAGCGCCAAAAGTCAATATGTATTAATCACGTATCACCCATGTCCCCCCAAATCGTATTCCCCTCCTTTCGTCTTTCGAGACTCCATTTGTCAAATCCGGAACGCCTGTAAAGAAAATATCTTCAATGGTGGGGATTATTTTGACTACATATCACTAGGTCACTAGGATATACTGGGGCCACAACATGGGCTACCGAATTATTAACTCACAACAGGACTATTCCGTTTCGTAAAGCAAACTTTGCTATTGCATTGTCCTCTGGTGGAGGCCTTCAAATAAATTGACAAATTGACCTCCAAAGGGGGTTCGTTTGAACCCCTCGAACCCCCCTCCTACGCGCCTGTGGGCAAATTTTGCTTCTTCACCATGCTATCTGCATGAGCACAAATGAAATCGTGCAGCTTTTTCTTTTACAACTACCAGGAGTTAAACCCCGGGGAGTTAAAGGGGGGTCTGCATGGGGGTGCTTGAATTCTCAGTCGTATCAATAATTCTTTGATCTTTAGTCTCAGCTCTCAGTTAATAATCCCTTATTTCTCAGCTGACAGTACTGAAAATTTTGACACTGATGCATGCGCAGTGTATGTCCTCCACTGGGCCTCTTCTAGAAGGTATTTTTCACTGCACAGAGTTTTTTTTTAAACTCAAAATGGAACTCTTGTTATAAAATTTGACCAACTTATATTCGCTATATTATTATACATGACATAAATAAGCGTTTGGCAACAAACAGTTCCTGCGTAGGGTTGAGTCCAGTAATTTGGCAGACCAGAGAGGAAAGGTAGAAACCAAATTGAGTTGTTCTCAGTGGTTTACAAAAGTTACTTTGGAATCTGTAATGTAGTCATTAGACAAGAAGATGCTCACACTTCCTTTACTTTCTACGTAATGTCTTTTATTAACCGAGCAACTGTCTCTATCTTAGTACAATCCATGCTCTACTTTTACTTAGTGTCTGAGTACTTTCACATTTGTGCTGTAATACTTGTACATCATTTGGTAGTTTCACAGATTTTAGCCATTATAGAACATAACTGTTACTACGATAATCAATACACTACAGTATCGTTTGGTACTTGATACAACTGTTGATACTTAGCCAGTTCGCCTTAAAGAAAGGAATATCTAAATCTTCGATATGGCCTACAACGCCTTAAACACCGTTTGTGCTCGAAGCAACTCTGCAGCACTTCAGCATCGCGCGAAAAACTTTTCTGAATTCTTTATTTTCCATCGAAATATAAGAGGGTTGCATATGGCATTGGAAAACATGGCCACGTCGTAGACGATATTCTGCAGTGGCATTTGATGTTTGCAGCCTCCAAGTGATTTGCCAGAGAAGGCTCGGAGGGAAGTAACAACCAGCATAGGGATGATACTGAGCAGACACAGCGCTACAACAGTGATGAAAAAGCGGACAACTTTCTTGTCATGTATGATGATGGGCATGGCTAGAGTGTCGCGACCCTGTTCTCTGACATGTTGTCTCTGCTTGTAGGACACCGTGAAGATGTAGACGTTTGTGCATAAAATGATCAACAGGGGGACAAGAAACATTGACGCAGCTGTGAATACAAGATGCCATCTGATGCGGAACACTTGGGAGTTAGTATTGAAAAATTTTCTGAAATCTTTGCTGCCTGATATCCTCAGAAGCACCTCTGGAAGAGCTACAACAACGGCCATAGCCCACAGCCACATCATGATGGAAATGATCCGTGCCCGGCGTTTGGTCACGGTGTGGTATCTTGAGAGAAACTTAATGGCGATGAAACGTTCTGCACTCATCAAGGTAACATGAAGAGCAATGACCGAAAGGAGAAACAAGGTGAAAGTTCCGCTTACTTCTTTAAGAATACGTGAAGGATGCCCACCATTATACTCAAGGCTCATCTGGATGATATCAAGAATGCTGGGAATCGCTAGTAAGCCGTCGGCGATGGACAAACTCACCAGAATGTTGTTGGAAGCTGTTCGCAGTTTGCGAGATTTGTGAAACGCTCTTAGAACGAAATAGCTGCCGAGCAGGGCAGCAACTGTGATAATTCCATAAACGGTCAACAGTAGGATGAATTTCCACTTCGGCATTGATATTTCTTTCATTGCATGCGGGAGGAAACTTGGGCCACCTAGTTGGTCTGAACAGTTCGCAACAATGACTTATACCACTGTTGTTCCGTTTCTTATCATAATCAAACTATTTAAATAGTCAGTGGTCATTAGCCATGGCCAGGTGAACTCAACTGTGTTTATGATCAAAGGATATTAAATAACGGTATTAAACAACATTTTAAAAATCATTTTAAAAAGGTGTTCCTTTTTCCTCAATATCGTCAAAACAAAATACAAATACATCTGAATCAGCAAAATCGAAATCAGCCATTTTAACTAACTCATATCCAAATTAACGCGATCGCCCATAGGTCCTCCATAGAAGGTGATGTCCCATTGTGATGCCGATTGTGGACCAGTAATGCTGTTCCCGCCACGTGTTTGTTTCAAAATAAAGTGATGTTTCTGCTAGAGATTATGCTAATTTATGACGACACTCTAATCATTAAGAGGCCACCTGCCGGTACCCCGTGAGTTGCCGCTTAATGGAGGCTCAACTGCGTGCGGATTATGTTAAGTAACTACCTTAATTACTGACTTCTAAAACGTCAAACTCTAAATTTCCTTGCAAATTCATTGACAATCCTTTAAGAAAGTAAATAGCATGTCAAAACTGCATAGTGTAGTAGAGTCAAGGAAACAAAACTAGTTATCACTTATGGTGTGCTTAATTTTTATTAAACAGCTGACTGCGTTCAATGGTGAAATGAATAAGTACAACGTCAACTAATTCATAAAGAATGAACCTTATATTTCGCCTAGAAATGAAAAAGACTAGTAAGGGTGTCTTATCAAGTCAAAACACAAGAAACAGCCAAGTGTTTTTAGACTTGAAAAAAAAACTTAAGAATTACAGGCTCATTAATGATTTAAGAACCTCCCCTAAATATTCCTTTGAATTATTATTAATATTATTATTATTACTATTAAATATATTATTTTTATTATTATTATTACTATTATTATTATTATTATTAACGAGGCTTTTAAGTCAGTTTTTGTCATTATCGACATCAGAACCGGTATCAAACGTAATAAATGCAAGGCGCGTCCTGTTTCTTGGCAAGCGTGGATAAGTTTCGGCTTTAATAGATTGTTAATTCTATACACTGAAAGGAGAAAAGAAGAAAAGTGAAAGCGCGATTGTCAGCTGAATTGAAATTGTCATCATTTATTTAAGGAAGTAGACACGCTGGCTCGATCAACGCCTTTCGTTTTTGAGCATTAATTAAACGACTAGCAAACGTCATTTTTGCTTCTAAACTTAACGATGATGTTATTTATTTCAGTGAAACGTGTGAACAATTATGTAGGCAAATAATGAAATGAATTCATACTTGCTGGCGACATTTGAAACAAATTAAAGTTAACTAGTAAAGAGCGGAAGAAGTTTGTAGCGGAATAGCGGAGTAGAGACCGATGAAGAACGTCTATATTTCTACAAGTGTTCATGTAAGGAGACTGAGCGGCCAGACCAAACAAGAAAAATTTGCAAATATCCAACCCACTTTTTTCGTTCGAATTTTGGAACCTATCTGAGCAAGTTTCTTTGATGTGGATATTTTACAGAGACTCAGTATAAAAGTAAAAAGGACTTTGCGATCTGTTTTTAGCTTATGTTATACTACTTATATATTTACTAGAGTTTATTGCGACCAACGAAGATCGAGAACGGCGGCATACTATTCGAGTCGGTTTTTTTCGCGCGTTTACGTGTCACTCTGGATGCCATATATTTTCATACTATTCGAGTCGGTTTTTTTCGCGCGTTTACTTGTCACTCTGGATGCCATATATTTTCATTCTATTCGAGTCGGTTTTTTTCGCGCGTTTACGTGTCACTCTGGATGCCATATGTTTTCACAGTTTTGACGCCATCTTGGACTGACTGGTTGGCACATTTGACATCGATCTCATGTGATAGTTTTTATCGGTCGGGAACTGCATGGTATCTATTTTGTGCCTCGCTCGGTAAAACTACAAATAATTTGTGTTTTATACTGTCGAGGGGTGGTTATCCTTTTTTCCTCGTAGATTTTGTCGATCCCTTTCACTTAAGTTTCTTTTCTAGGAAAGGCAGCGATAACTAGATATTGTGTTAACAATGTGTTCGGCACATTGTATTTGTTTTTATGCATATGAGCTATATCAGCTTAATAATTAGATCGACCATCATTTCTGTTGCAAATAAAATCAGTGGTCGTTTTTAAAAACTATTTTCAGCGTTGTACTCGCTTCTGTTCCACATCATTGTTGAAAATGTGAAATATTACTTTGCCGGCCGCATCTTCTCAGAAATTCTCAGTTTGCGTTGAAAATGAAGACAAAAGTGGTGCTCGTTGCAAATCCAGGTTTGAAAATTTCCTCTCATGCAACCCTTCTTCAACGATAGTCATCCCTCGCAGCCGTTTCGGTGTCGTTACGTAACAATCCTCCCTGTTGCCTGACTACACTGAAACGGTTGCCAGGGAGACTACTTCAACGATTGACTATGAAAAATAAAAATTAAAAGAAACCGCACTTTTGAAAGGCAATGTCATTTTATTTCTGCTAATAATGGTCTACAAAAATAAGCTTTTAGGTTAGCTAACAAATTCTTCCCCTTATGTGAATTTTCTCCAAATAACAAAGGGAGGAGTGCTGGATTAGTTATTTTGCTTCATTTCGCTGTTACTAATTCTTCGTTTTCATCCATAAATCCTGAACAAGAAATAGTCGATCTGATACATTTGAAACAGGAGGCAATTCCACCGGGGGGAGGCCGGTAGGGGTGGAGACTCCTAAATAAGGCCTGCATACTGTTTCATTCTGTTTCATAGGTCCTGCTACTGGCGTTCCAAGCTAGCCCGTCTTCAGTACGACTCGAGTACGACTGTAGCACGCCTTGGTTTCAGACGTCGATTTTAATTCAGTCGTATGCCGTGTTTCGGAAAAAAAAACTTAAAACTAAAAAGCGGTTTCAGTGAACTTTTAAAATGTTTTCTGATGTATTTTTAATTTATAAATTGAGGTCAGCACCGCACTACGTAGTACGATGTTTGAAACTAAGGGCGCTTTCCATTTGTGAGAACTGACCGGCCAGCCCATTCCCATCTTAATGAGAATTTCACTTTTCATCAAAACTAACCATCCAGATTAGTCAAATCCAAAATATTATACACAGAGGAGATGGTTTTTCAGCTAAACCTCTTGGGAAAAGCCTATTTCATCGCCAGAAAGTCCGGTCTGGCCATGGTCCGGCCGGCCAGTTTTGACTTTTGGAAAGCGCTCTAAGTCCACCACATGCTACTGCGGTGTAGGCAACGCTTGCCGTGCTACACGCAGTGGCCCGACTTGGCTTCAAACGTCGTGCTACCACAGTGCTAGTTAAAGTCGAATTGAATTCGATCAGTTGAGGTCCGAAAGGCAGTAGCACGGCGAAGTTCGTGAAATTCTCTTTTAAGACTAGACTGATTGAAGATGTCGGTTTGACTAAGTGTTCACGAAGGAACACTTCACTGACACTTGCAATTTTTTTACCCACAAGTGTCGCTTAGTAACAGTGCCGACCTTGAAGAAATAAAGAAAGAAAAAGCCGAAAAGAAGGAGAAATTCGGAACATGAAAAATTGTCTAAAATGCGAAGGCTGTGATTGTTATGATTCAGTGGCTGTCCGCCTGTTTGAATGGTATTTTTACGAGTCGATTAAAGCTTGAGCAACGCCACTAAAACCTTAATAAGAGGGGAGCAGACACCATGCAACACTGTGCATTAAGCCATGAAAAAAGTAACATCTAAATGGTTAAAATTGTCAATAACATAAGAATTAATCTAAAAAATGATGTTTTTAGCTTGCCGGCTCAGGTGCCAGAAGTAATTCCGCTTTGGGAAGCCTTCTGGGAGATGCAGTTTACATTGTTCAAGCGCCGCACAGTTAATTCATTTCTTTTAAATTTCAAATGTACATTTGGGCGCGGAGGAGTCAATGAGGAGTGGGCTACCGTCGCCGCTGCGCGCTTTTTTCCACGCGGAACGCGGTTTGCCATATTATGAAGGAGCAATTTTTTCCAGCCCAAAAGCGCTTCTTCCTGATTTTTCTGTTTTGATCAGTCTGCTTGAACCGACTGGTTAACATGTCCATTAACACACGAGGTACTTTGCTCCAAGTCGAAAGATCTTGATCTTCCGAAATAGCAGCATCGTTCGCAGACTGTAGAAAGCGAGTCTCCACTATTCTCAGATTCTGATCTTCTCTGCGCGACATAGTCTTTGATGGGAGGGTAAATTATGCAAAGAACAGGAATCAAAACAAACAGCGTGTAGATGACGTAGCCCCACGCAGGATATTGAAGGTACTTGATTTCCGCCTGGAAGAAGTTAAATACACAATGAGTAGTTATCATGATTTAATTTAGCAAACCTATTTTAAAAATCCTCAATAATTATAATGATCTTACTCAAGCTTAATTAAAAGTTACGGAAAGCCGACAGCAGAAACTTTTGCTGGCTATTAAGATCACGATTTATTTTCTATTTTGTTACGAGTAGACGTATTTAGTAAAATCCAACTAGTGGTCTATTATCAATGCTGCGTTCTGATTGGTTGAGCTACTACTAGGCTATATGTCATAGCCCACTAGTAGCGAAAAGCGCCGACTTTGAAAACCAAAACAATGGCGGCTGAATCGGGTTTTGCTAGCTAAAGTTGTTTTGTCTCGATATTTTTGACCAACTAGTTGGATTCTACTGAAATAATTATTCCTCTCCCCCTCATGGCCTCTGAGTCAATAGCCCATGAGGCCGAAGGCCGAATGGGCTATTGACTCAGAGCCCATTCGGGCTCGAGGAATAATTGTTAAAAACAGCGAGTTAAGGAGTGTCATTCGCTGAAAGCTATCAGCATGCAGAATCGAAGTCCCTATATATCAGACAATATTCGAGCATTCAAAATGAAACATACTCTTCACGAGAATGATTCTTTAAATGAAAATAAGAAACAGTTACATTGAAAGTTCGTGCGGTTTCTGGTCGTTTTTCTGTTCTGTGAACAACATAAAGTTGCTTCATATTGTCCCTTTCCATGCAGGAAAAATGGGGTACCCCCTGACTGCAACGGTGCGGGTGCTGGGGTGAGCTAGATCTAACGTGGGGTGGAAAAATAATAGCCTTATACTTAGTGGCTTCTTGTAGCCTCTTGAAAACTGGCAGGCAAATTGTGTTCACGCCAGCTGATAGAATGCACAAAACCCTGAGTTCAATAATTAATTTTTTTAAAGAAATTACCTTATTCCTATCCCAGGCTGTGTATGTATACTTTCCATCAGCCATATCTCGGATCATCTGTACTAATCCTCCAATTATTACACCGAGTATGATCAGCGGTGAAATAAACTTCCAGCATATGCGCCATCTTCTTTTTACTCTCTTCCCAGTCATTAATGAAAGATCCTTTGAAAATCTATAGGTTTAAATGACATTTTAGAGAGATTTTTATGTAAGACTTAAACATGTTAAAGAATTAATGAAATCCTTAATGAATCCTGAATGAATTTTTAGACACACTCAAATAAAATTTCAGTCTTCATCAAAGAAAAGTACAAAAATAATGGAAGGTTTGCAATAATATACTGACGCTTGCATTAAGGCGCGAAAGCTGACAGATATGCAACCGTAAGATAGTTGGTTACAACAATAACCGGACTGTTCGACAACTTGTCGGGATGTCATCATCAGAGTCAAAGTGGCTGCTTACTACCTCTCACTGTAGTGGTTGATTTCCACTGTCGCGTAACTTTTCCGTAAGAACGCGCGTAAAATTAACGTGCGTAAATGAAGTTTATATTCTTAGGAATAACTTAATTAGACCCAGGCCCTCGCGGCTCGTCAGCTGTTTTCTTCACGGCGCTAGTTGTCATTTTATATCCTTGTCAGTTCGCTCGTTCGCTGTAATATCAATTTTAGCATTTCGCTCCAGTTTCTTCAGTCTTTTAGCATCTTATTATGTCTCAAGCCGCCGGAAAACGTCGCACTCGAGTACCTGTGCTGCCTGCAGGGTTCGTTTACGATTTGCCTTCCCTCGCAAGACCGCATAACAGCGCTACGAATGGCACTCCATCGCTAGACCAATCTCCATCGCACGAGGTTCACACAACGCCACGTGTTGAGACCACAGCTCCGGGTTCTTCTACTTCCGCGCCCGGCAATTCCCCCTCCTTACATTTGCTGAACCTGCAGATTGAAAAGCAACAGCTGGAGCTTCGCCTCCTTGAGCTCGAAGCTCAATCAAGAGCTCGGGAATTGGTTTCATCCAGCCCGGCCGCCAACAAGCCTCGAAACATTCCTTCTTTGGAGACCGTTCGTGGAGGAGTTAACTCCGGTAAGTCCCAAGGTCAACTCGACCACAATACACGCATCGTTAACCCCCAAGAATGGCCTCATCTTCACGTTCCTTTCGGTCTGTCCCGAAAGAAGTTTAAGGATTTATCGACGGCAGAATTCGTGTATGGCTATCTCGATATCTTGTCTGCTCAGCCTTCCCCTCAGCAAGCGCTCATGACGCACCACCTCATGTCTTTAATGCGTTTGGCGTCCAAATACGACTGGGAAGCAGTGCTGTCCTTTCATGCTGCCGTGTTGGATCGCATCGAGTCGGGCCTCGCAAGCTGGGGCGACGATTTCAGCGAAATCGAGCGCTTCAACATCACAGAATCCAATCGCTTGCAATCCAAACCGGTTACTTCGCCCGCCTTTCACGCGGCTGGCTTTCGTAACAACAATGGCCGACCTCGTACCTATTGCCACGAATGGAACCGCACCGGTACGTGCAGTAACCCTTCGCACCAGGAAGGCGTCGAACACATTTGTGCATATTGCAAGCTCAAAGACCACACCATTGGCTCTTGCCCGACTCGCCCTCCGCCGCCCACCACAGCCGATTGACTATCTTCTCCAGCTCCCACATCTCTCCCGTCGAACAGCACGTTTTCGCCCGCCGTTTCTTCGCCTGCTCCCGCCTCAACAGCCTTATCGTCGCCTCCTTCGCAGCCCAACCTTGTCTCCGCTCCCTCTACCGCATTTTCTGGCCAACTTTTACTCTCTCGTGAACACTCGCACGCCGCAGTTATTCGTCACATTCTTTGCTCCAAGTCTCCGCTCCCGAACGCCTTTGGCACTCGAAATCCTGTTCCGTCGAAGCTGAACATTCCTGTTTGGAGATCATACCTCGAACATTACTCTGATTCTGTTGTTGCCGATTTCCTAGCCTTTGGATGGCCTATTAACTGTCACTCCGTCGTTTCTGTTACATCTCAGCCCCCGAACCATGCTTCAGCCACCGATTTTCCGGATGTTATTGACGCCTTCTTATCTACCGAGATCGAACATTCTGCCACTGCTGGGCCATTCACGTGCAATCCTTTCCCAGCCCCCCTCCGCACGTCTCCTCTGCTAACTGTCCCAAAGGATGGCACCAGAAGGCGCGTCGTACTGGACCTCAGTTTCCCTCTTGGCTCCTCTGTTAATGACGGAATTCCCAAAGATTCTTACCTCGATCAGCCTTTCCATCTTTCACTGCCTCGTTCTGCCGATTTTGTTGACCTTATTCTCTCCAAGGGCGCTGGGTGTTACCTTTACAAGAAAGATTTGAAACGCGCTTACAGACATATTCCAGTGGATCCTAGAGACTACATCTTTCTTGCCTATCACTGGTGTGACTCCTTTTATTTTGACGTTGTCCTCCCATTTGGTCTTCGTTCTGCAACCCTTGCCTGTCAGCGGACTACCAACGCGATTGCTCACATCTTTCACTCTTTCTTTGGCCATGACTGTATCAATTACATCGATGACTTCGGCGGGGCCGAATCCACCTTCGAAGACGCTTCACTTGCCTTCTCTGACCTGGAGCGTCTGTTCACTGATTTAGGCCTTCAGTCGTCTCCGTCCAAGGACTGTCCACCTTCCACGAGAATGGTTTTTCTCGGCCTCACTTACGACACCGTCACACTGACCATGGCAGTGCCTCCTGATAAACTTCAAGACACCGCCGATCTCATTCGTTCTTGGCTAGCAGCTCCACGGTCCACTAAGTCAGACCTTCAGTCTCTCATCGGCAAGCTTTCCTACCTTTGTGCTTGTATCAGCCCTGGACGGATTTTCATGCAGCGTCTGCTTAACGAACTCCGCCAGCTTCCCACAAAACGTGCACGTTTCGTGCCCAGTTCAGACATGCTGTCCGACTTACGTTGGTGGGACAAATTCCTCTCTGTCTACAATGGTGTTCACTTTTGCGTTCTTCCCCTTGGCCAGTAAGCGATCATTTCTTCTGTACTGATGCTTGCCTTACCGGTATTGGCGGTTTCTTTTGTGGCCGTTTCTTCCACTCCTCCTTCCCGGCCTGTTTTGATCCAGCCTCTCTTTCCATTGCTTCGCTCGAAATGTTGGCCGTCACCATCAGCATCAAGCTGTGGTCTGAGGATTTGCGCGGTCTACGCATCTTGGTTCGCACTGACAACCTCAACACTGAGCTGGCTATCAACACTGGCCGTTCCCGCGTGCCTTTTATTCAGTCGTGCCTACGCGACTTATGGTTCTACGCCTCCCTTCACGATTTTGAGCTGCAAGCACTCCATATTCCCGGTTACGCCAACATCATTGCTGATGCTCTCAGTCGTTGGGACAGTCATCCTGAGTTTCGAGACACCTTCTACGAGGCCGCTTCTCTTCACTATGACACTCTCACAGAGTACACTTGTCATTCAGACCTATTCCATTTTGACTGTCAATGGTAATCACCTCTCTATTTGGTTGCAGGTTTTCACCTTGATGACCTTCACTCCTGCGTCACCAGGATTCAAGCCTTCGCTCTGTCTGATTCCACCAAGCGAAATTATCATTCCGTCTGGAACACGTACTTAAAATTCTGCCAATTTTACTCTATCACTCCCTTTCCAGCCTCCTCATCGACCATCGCTGCGTTTATCACCCTGCTTGGCTTCTCCGTTAAGTCACATCGCACAGTCAACAACTACTTGAGCGCACTACGGCGTTTACACGTGTTTTGCCATTTCGAGACTTCCGCCTTCGATGACATCCATGTCAAGCTTACCCAAAAAGGTTTGGAGAAGTCTATGGTTCACCTTCCTCATCGGAAAGCACCTCTGACCCCAGCCATCTTGCTGCAATTTTACCACCATCTTAATGTTCGCGACTCCGCCCATCTAGCTGTGTGGTGCGCCCTGCTTGTCGGATTCTTCTCCTTCTTCAGAACTGCCAACCTCGTCCCGCAGTCCTTTGACAAGTTCTCCTCTCATCATACATTGTCCAGGGGCAGCATCACTTTTGCCACCTCAGGTGCTCTCCTCACAGTCACCCGGACAAAAACACGGCAGGCCGGCGATGCAGCACTCGTGGTACCAGTTCCTCGTATTCCTGGATCTCCCCTTTGCCCCACCGCTGCCCTGCGATTGTTACTCGACTCGGTTTCCGCCCCGGCTGGCTTCCCGCTCTTCACATACACCACCGCTTCTCATCACCATGACTGTATCACAGCCTCTTCTTTAAACGCTAGTATCAAGTATTTGGCGTCTTCGGTTTCTCTCAATCCTCAGGATTTCTCCGGTCACAGCCTGCGTCGTGGAGGTGCCACCTTCGCCTTTCAGTGCGGGATCCCCTCCGAGCTCATCAAAGTCCAGGGTGATTGGAGATCCGACGCCTACATGCTCTATTTGACACTGCCTTTGGCAGACAGACTTGTGCTGTCTCATGTTATTTCTCAGCACATTCAGCTGTTATAGTTTAGTCTACTTTTAGTAGCCTGCATAGTTATTGACACTGCCTCTTTGGCGGACAGGCTCGTTTTGTCCTCAGCACGTTCAGTTCTTACGGTTCATAGATCGTTTTGTCGGTTCCCCAAATTTATTTCTTTATTTTGGCACAGATTTCATTGTTCTGGTTTTGTTCACAATTCGCTTTGCTTATGTCTTTCTGTACCTTTTGTGCCTTTTTTTCATATCGTGCCATGTTCTCTAATTTTTCTCTCCCCTCTGCTTCCCCTCTGACTTCGCCCCCCTCTGTGAATCCTTTGGGCCTCTTTCTTGGTTTGGGGTCTCCTCTCGAGGCCTCGGGTCCTCTCGCTCGTTCAATAAAGATGCCCAAACGGATTCACTGGTGGTTGTTGTCTCCGGGTGAGTGGGAGGGAGACCAGGGGATAATTGTTTATATTCTTAGGAATAACTTAATTAGACCCAGGCCCTCGCGGCTCGTCAGCTGTTTTCTTCACGGCGCTAGTTGTCATTTTATATCCTTGTCAGTTCGCTCGTTCGCTGCAACATCAATTTTAGCACCCTCCCTCCCTCCCTGGGGTCTCCTCTCGAGGCCTCGGGTCCTCTCGCTCGTTCAATAAAGATGCCCAAACGGATTCACTGGTGGTTGTTGTCTCCGGGTGAGTGGGAGGGAGACCAGGGGATAATTATAGTGGCAATGTATGAAATTGAAAGGCCACTTGTAAACGTAAAAGCTGAGGGAGGTTTAACTTTTATGTTTACGCGTGACCTTCCATATATTGCCTCTATTTTATGCACGAGCGTAAGAATTACTCGACAGCAGAAATCCATCTTAAAACAATAACCTTAATTTCCTCAGTTCTTAACTTCGAGAGCGGATTATGTAGTACCTGTCTACTCCGTAGATGTAAGTTACACCCACACACTCCACCAGGCCAGTTAGGAGCAGGGGAATGGAACTAGCGGAACTGATAATCTCTAACAAGTAAAAGCCAGTTGACTGTACGAATAATAGGTTGCTGATACACATGGTCAGACAGAATAAACCTAAGAAACATGAAATAAAAGAGAAATAGTACACTTAAAGTTCGCCCCGTGTATGAGAATCCGAATTCTGGACTCCGGGAAACTTTTGCATGTGGAATCCGGAATCCTTGACTTTGGAATCCGGAATACAGCTCAACGAATCCGGAATCCCACTAACGATTACAATCCAGAATCCAAGTACCACTGACAAAGAATCCGGAATCCGGAATCCAGCACCTCGACTCCGCATTCCAAGACTGTCTTGTCAAATTCCCTTACATGTGACGAGAGATCGAATATACACCGGCGCGGAGTCTCTCTTAGCGCCAATATTAAAAGCCTACGTCTAGCCGCACGTACCCTTCCCCCGACAAAGGAAAAACGGAATCCCCCTGACGAATGTCGGGGGGAGGGTGCGACTACACGTAGGCTACAATATCCAGAAAAATATTCTCCAGACTAAGCCCCATAAATTTCCTGAAAGAATTAGTTGACGGAATCTGATTAAATATCAAAGCATTCGCTTAGGTGATCCTTTTACTCTATGCCCCTGTACGCCTTATAGAAACGGACATCTATAGATGTTCTTTCTAAAAAGTGGGCTTAACTCCGCTCTTAAACAGTCCTTTCTCTAACCACTCGCAGTCCTCCATATCAAATAATTTGCGCTGGTGGATTGGAAGCTTTTGTCCCCTAGCTTTGGACGATAATGTGAGAGAAGTAACTGGCAGTGGCCTGCAGACAAGAGCGGGATGGTAAACGTTGGGGGCTTACTTTTTTCGCGCGAGATTGCAGGACTGAGGTGTTTACAATCAAGTCTCTTTAAGACTGACACCTTTGGGACCAACATAAGTGTCTGTCTTATAGAGAGTCAAATAGAGGGAGTAAAGAAAGGCAGGGTACGTAAAAAAACATGAAAAAATGAAGGGGGTGGCCTATCTCTGTAAGTATGCAACGTATTGGCAAGAAACTTCCATGAGGGCTTAAACGCGTTGTAAAGATTAAGTCTGAATGAAAGTTGTCAAGATAAGGATCACGTGACTCATTGAGTTATCCAATTACCATTTTGACTTGAGCCCATCTGCAGGAGAACTTATGCACACTTATCTTAACAAATAACGCGCGGAAAGTGTTTTGCTTATCGGACGTATCGGGATGTACACGAAACTAACTGGAAGGCATGTCCAGGTCACGTGGTCATTGAAATGTAATGATTTTCCTGTCAAGTGACAGCCAGAAAACATTCATCAAGGGTAGGCATACCACCATTCCAGTTGACTTTGGAAAGTACGTTAGTTAGGTAAAAACAACACCTATAAAAATGCCCAGTAAAAGTTTTTTTACACTGCCTGCAGAATCCTTAGAGAAAAAATACGGAAATGAAGCGTTACTTGGTCACGCAACACGTTACCATGGTGATGTCAATCTCAAAAATACTATCTTAACAGGGATAATGCAATGACCACTTCTCACTCTTGCCACAAATTTTTATTTTGAAGATAGACCACCCCCTTATATTTCAGACCAAAAAAATAGCAGACTACCTGAGATAAGAGAGAGTCGACTGTAGTAATAAAATTAAGTAAATTAAACATACCGCAAAGCAGTTCTTTTCTCCATTGTGACGTAAAAAGTTTTATTTCTTTAAAAGTGATAAGGACGATCTCAATCATACCCAGCATGCTTGAGGAACCAAGTAGAAAGAGAAGAAAATAGAAGAATGAGGACCACAACGATGGCGACCAAGGCATCTTTGGGAATGTTCCGCTTAATCCTGCAAACCCGAGGGATAACCCTGGTGGAAGCTGAAAGACATAACCACGGATAAAAACAACTTTAATAATACGCATTGAGAACCCAAGTGTTATACAGTCTGTCTATTAATACAGGCAAGCTAAAAAATCCTTTCAGAGGTGTCTCTAATATTTAAAGTTGTTGGATAAGAAGTTCTTTTTTTTCTTTTTTCCTCTCGTTTCCTTTGAAAGTAATCTGGAGGGTCATGCTTATATGTAGCCGCGGAGAAATCCCGGCCCCGGGCCCTAAGTGACACCCCTTTGACTATTTTCCTTGCCGGTTACCCCTGAACCTTTCAGTTCGGGACACTCTCAAACCGTATCTGAATTTATTTTATAGCTAATCAGAGGATTACCTACCTTTTGAAATATTTCTTCTCTGCTACAGGAGCCGTTGTTGTCAACAGAAGCGTTTCGACTCATTTCTTTACATTCCTTGACTTCATAACTCGCTTTAAACCCAAATAAAGAGAACATGATGATGCTCGCCCATAGCGATGTCCCACAATTCCCCAGGGCGCTCATGACTGCGTCCATGTAGAAGTTGTTGTTGGGCTTGTGGCCAGTGGAGAAGAGAGTTAAAGTTCCAAACCCCACCCCTAGAGAGTAGAAGATTTGTCCTGCAGCGTCCATCCATACGACTGGATCCTTGAGTTTTTCCCACTGCGGAAAATGATAAATTTGATTGAGCTCTGTTGGTCATCATATGGGGTTGCGCGTCTTAACTGGTCGGTTCTGGGTTTGAATAGTCCATTTTCGAGTTCGCTATGACCGCTGAATTAAAGAAGTGAAGACGCATTTTTTACAGCCTTAGCCTCCATCTGAAGTAATATATTCACAAATTCCAACGAGAAAAAGACCTGTTTATTACTCTGTCTATTGTGTATATTCAAATTTCAGACACTTACTTGCCAGAATTTCTGAATATTTTACTTTACGTCGATGCTAACCCTGTATGAATGTGTCGTTAATGTTTGTATTCAGGGGTAATTTTTAATTCGAAACTGGACTATTGTATTATAGGGGAAAGAATACGCCTTCCCTCCTCTTACATCCGAAAGCTTGCCAGCAAGATTTGTTGAACCTTCCTCAAGAATACTTCACTGAAGGGTGAGTTGAGGTATTTTAATTCAGGATTAGATCTGAGCGTCTCTTTACGAATTAATTTGTTAATGCTGAGGGAGATCTACTCTGCACTAATTAAAAGTCCTTAGACTCTTTCCGATGCATCTGAGTTATGAATAACTTGTTGCTTAGATCATCCTTACATTTGAATGGTTATTCTAAATGACTGTGCTATTCAGACGACTAGATTGCATCTCAAAGCTTTTCTCTTTAATCAAGAAAATGCATAACTAATTTCAAACTAGTGCAGCAGTCGTGTTGGAATGGTTTCATATAACAAACCATAAGATTACCACAAAGGATGCTCGCCCCTAAAGGGCAGTATCACTTTAGGGACTATCTTGTTAGCCACTTAGCGTGCTGTCTCTAAGAAGAAAGCTCGCTTATAAAGTCAATAATGACCGATTCCGACTTTGAGTTAAGGAGGGGCCTGCACGCTGGCCGAAACGAAGCACCTCTGTGCTATGGCACCGCGGGCCTCGGTTTTCATGTAAATATGGGGAGTGGGCGTTACTCTTCTAAGTCCGCCACTAATATTGAGAAGCAAACCTCTGGGATGAAAAGTAGAGCTAATCCTTCAGCCCAACCGTCCAGATGAACACCAAGAAAGAAAAAGATAACGAGGCTGATGATGATGAACGTTAGAGTCACGGTTAAAATCTGTAAAATAACAAGTATATCCGTGTTAATGGATTAATACAAACCCAGTTATGTAATGCGGCGTTTAATTAATACTCGGTGATATGAACGAAACGAATTCGGCTTTCGAGTATCACGGGAGTCAGCGTGGCCAAATGGTCAGTGCGTCTCACTTTCAATAGAGAGATCGTGGTTTTGAATCCCACACTGATCATTTTCTGGATCTGTTTCTTGGCAGCGACGAGCCGGTCAACCGCTAGGCCTTTCAGAATAATTGTTTGTGATTATTTTAGATAAATAAACGTATGAGAAAATCTCTGGGATGAAAAGTAGATCTTGATCTCGTCCTTGTCGCCCGGTCCGTAGTATTAAGACCTCTCGCTAATTGTCCTACCCTAGTGCTGTTGATATTGTGATGTGGGAAAGACAGTCAGGAATATCCCTTAGTAACTAGTTGTAAGCTATAAATTGAATCAATACTGGCGAGGGTCCCTTACAAATGACATCTAGTAATATATAGATTTAGCCAAGGCCAAAAACGAAGCCCTCGAGGGATCTTTTAAGAAATGTCTTTCTCAAGCAATTAAAATTTTGCCGTAAGCAGAAAGCAAACTGAATTCCACCTGATTCTACCTTAAAAAATCCTGAGCCCGCGATCAATTGAAAACCAAAAACTGGTCAGCTAATAACTTTAAAAATACGTCACCTCAAACACACAGTATATGCCTTGGACTCCAAGCTAGTAACTGTCCCATTTCACATCTACTAACATGAAAGAGCGTTCGCACGGACGTACGTACGGACGATTTTGTCAGAACCAAAATTTCTTGAATGCATAGATAAACAAATTTTTTCACCTGTGGTGCTGCGCTGCGCGCGCTTGGCGCGCGAGAGAGCTCTGCTATGTAGATTCATACGTTACATGTATATGAAAACGTCTTGGTTGTGCAATTTTCTTCCCGGAATTTCAGTTCTCAGTGACACTAGCCTGGGTGCTAGAGGGTTTTTTTTTGTCTTATCTGATTCCTGACAGTTCGCCGCGAAGACACGACTGCAAGGCGCAAAGCGCCAAGAAAAAACTGTCTCGGAAACTTTATCAAACCGTGAACACGGTTTACTTCATCCTAGGTACTTCGAGGCGGACCTCTGGAGACATGGCACATATACAAACCTTTGAAACGCCTCGAGAGCCCCGCATTGTCAGAAGAAATGACACAGTCCATGACGCTACGACGAAAAGGTACATATACATGTTGATTCCTGTCAAAACAAGTTTAAACATTCGTAAACAAATAAATGCGAAAAAATGTCCTGATATTTTTATCTCGTTGGTAATCAAGTGGCTAATCCAAGCACAACCATTACAACGGTTTTCCTCGCACTGAAGAAGGGTCATACACCCGAAACGTCTATTTTTTTAAAAAACATTTGGCACTCTGTTATCATTTTTTTGCGGAATATCACCTCATCAGACAATTAAACTTTGTTTATTATGATCAGCGTCCAGAAGGCATATAGCGCAGAATGGAACATGCCAGCGCTATTTAATTTATCGACCTAAAATAAACCATTTATAAACGACTTTACTGATTGTCTTAAGCTAGGGTCTATGCTAAACATCGTCAAAATACTCTTTCCTTAAATGTTACTGAAATCTAGGGCTATCCTAATCCTATTTTAAACATCCTGGAGCGTTATACTCTCTGTAATAGTAACACACTTAATGAGATGCCCGCCTCATCGCCCATGACTTAAAAACTGCAAGGATCATCCCTAGGTGACCGTAATTACTTTGTTTTGTTGTTGTTCAGGGAGAGTTATTAGCACTTAGCAGCTATACAGAGATCGCCCCATGTAAGGGAGTCCAAGACAGTCTTGGATTCTGTATTCCAGGCCATGGATTCCGGATTCTTGGTCAGTGGAATTTGGATTTGGATTCCGGATTCCAATCGCTGGTGAGATTCCGGAGTCCTTTGGCTGCATCCCGGATTCTAAACTCCAGGATTCCGGATTTTACAAGCAAAAATTTCTCGCATGAGGGAATCCGGATTCCCTATCATGGGGCAATAGAGAGACTAAGAAAGAACAGTAGATAAATCGAAAGCAGGAGCGAAGAGCGATATAGGGTTACTATTACAATGATTTTCATGCAGCAAATCATTTGGTATGAAATAATGTGATGACGTCATCTTCTCACCCGTGCTATTGTCAATATCATCTGCAACGTCTAATGTGTCTCTGTACCAGTAGTACTCGGCTGGGCTGCTTTTTGCACACTCTATCACATCAATTTTGGTTCCATTAAGGTCTACAGTAGGACATGCGCTCCAAAAAAGTGTACTTCTTAATGAATGAACGAAGTAGTACAGACACCATGCTACAATGTAATTGTAATAAAAAATCGTCACCAGGCTCATCAACGCCGCAGAAATGCCAATCCCCCGGAGACTGGGACTTAGATCCTTCCATGATTCGACGACCGAGTTACGACCCAGTCTTTGACCGACCGCCATCTCCAAGCAGAGCAAGGGAATTCCCTCTATGATTAGCATAATGAAGTATGGGATGAAAAATGCTCCTTTAAAACAACACAGAATAAGCAAATTTAAATGACCAGACTAAAAATTAACACAAGTAGAAGGTTGACTGCCTATATTCGGACAGTTTCGGAGTAATGTTAGTCCTAAACAAATATTACGCCATTCTCGTCTCTCCCTCTTCCTTTCTTCCGCCTTTTCCCCCTCCCTCTCCATTTAGAGACTAAGACTGAAGACTGAATTAAGACTGAACGCCTGTAACAGGCTACAATTCCATGGTCTATAAGCTCCTTGACCATAACTCTCGACCAGTCAGCCCACCAAAAAATGATTGCTCTGTTTATTGTTAAAAAAAAAGGAAAAAAAAAACTTTTAAAACAATTTTGGCTTGGACGAACACGTCTTCTTGTCACCCCCATATTTTCGTTGTTTTTTTTTCGTTCAACAACTTTTAATACTTTTTTTTCACACTTAAGTAACGAATACAAAACCTTCAAATTACTTCTTAAAACCGCTACAGAACTACAAAACACAATTCATCCAAACAAATTTCATTATACACTACTTAGTTTCTCACAGCCGTTAAACATATTCTCGGTTCCTTGGTACGCTTAATTTGGTCAAACCTTTTTTGACGTTTTCTCATGCTGTAAGTATTATTTATTCTAAGGGGGCAGTTGGCCATTCCAAATGGCGACTGCACATTAAAGGTTTGTCCGAATCTGCTACCATTCTTACCGAGGCGTTAGCCTTGATAGAAAACTGCTTTAATTGCCCTTAGTAGAGAGACTTCTTACCTCCCCCGTGCTTGAAGCAAAGCTGCGGAAACCTGATGACATTTCCAACTCCCAGCAAATATGTGAGGACGGCCACAAAATAATCGCCTTTGCTTTTCCAAGGTTTCTCGGGGTCTCTTCCTTGAAACACACAGTTCAGAGAAGAACCACAACAGTTTAAATTTCCAGAATGAGATCGCCGTAGGAGTGATTTCACGCCGTTTACCCCAATTTGACCGTAAGGAGTCCCAGGCTTAGAGCTCGCACCGTTTGCTCTAATGTAATAATTATTTGCATATTTTCCGTTCAGTGGTAGGCTCATTCTACCCGCCTGGTACACAGCTCTGTTTTGTGATCCACTTGCACAGGTTTCATACACGGTTTTCGTTAAGTGGCCGCTGGCTAAGGTACTACGGTTTGGAGGTCTAGCATCTCCCCAGAATGCTTTGCGATCTTGGCTCTGTTGGCTTGTCGAGGGAATGTTGTTGCGCTCTCTTTCGGGGTCGTTACTCTTTATTTCAGTTCTAGGTTGATTTAAGGTCTTGTACTCGCGAGTCTTCATCGGAAATGCTTCACTCGTGCTGACACTGTCTTGAGGTGAAAGATTAGTCATCTTTCCTCAGTGTAATATCTCAAAATGTTTTGTCTAAAGGAGAAAAAGAGCTCGTCAAAACAACGACGGCAACAGGAGCAACTAAACACAACCATTTGCGACAGAACTGATTTACGTGTAAGATAACAAAACTATATTATAGTATAACACACCCTATTCTTTCAATCCAACCAAAGGATTTAATTGAAGGGAATTGTTTACAGTTAAGCTTAGACTGTTACAAAGTTTCACATCTGACCAAGCGAAATATGCTATGAACAGACAAATTGTTAAGATATTCTGACTCATAACATATAGTTAAGGTGTTTCGATACAGTTTTGCGCAGGCCATAGCGATACTTTTTAAGCGCTTTAAAAGTGATTAATCCTTATACGATCGCTATAAAATTTTCTCCACTGACTGATTTTGGACTGAAGCTTGTCAGGTAAAATCTATATCACTATGACAACAATAAACAAAACACTTTGAAATCGATAAAAGAATAATTTTGCTGAAAATGCGACACCAAGAACTTAAAGTGTAGTGAATAGCAAATAACCTCAGTGAGAAGTAAACAATTCTTATGTTTGAATTCAGATAAAACGTAAATATATTTCAAACCTTTCATTTTCAATAGCCATTAAAAATTGATTAGTAAAAAAGTTCTAAATGACTCAAATTAACCTTAAGTAGCGTCAGAATACTGCATAATATCGTTTTTTGCTGTTTGGAAATTCTGGTGTATTTTCTTTCTTGCGATCCTGAAATCTATAGTAACCTGTTTTCTCACCGTGCAGGCAGTGCAACTTTACTTAAATGTTGACTTTTCGTGCTTTTCTGTATATCTCTGAAACAGCTCGACAAAATTATTTTCAAACCTCATCACATATTAAATTTTGACGATGTACATGATAATGTCTGAAACTTTCATTAAGAAAATTTCAAGACAAACCTAGCATACGAACCGGCCAAAAATCTTCGATTTAACATTCGTTGTTTAGACGTTATGCTAATTTTTGAAATTAATGCTCGCCTTACATACCTCCATGACTCAACGAATTTTATTGCACCTTTTTGAACGTAAAGTATTGAAAGTATTCACATTGAAATATACTAATCATGGAGGTATTTATGGTTGAGATATAATCTCACTGGAAAAATTAACAAAACGTCAAAACAGTGAAAGTTGTAAAGCGGATTTTTGGCCAGTTCGTGGGCTAGGTTCGTCTTTAAATTTCAAGAGAATCAATTCTAATGAAAGTTTCAGACATTATTATATACATCCTAAAGATTATGTGATGAGGTTCGAAAATCATTCTGTCGAGCTCTTTCAGGGATATACAGAAAAGCACTAAAAGTCAAAATTTAGAATAAAGTTGCACTTAGACAAGTGGTGAGAAAACTGGTAAGTTTTGAGGATCGCAAGAAAGAAAATACACTAGAATTTCCAAACAGCGAAAAATGATACTCAGCAGCATTAAAACGTTGTTTAAGATTAATTTGAGTCATTTAGAGCTTTTTTATTAATCAGTTTTTCACGGCTATTTAAATTACAAGGCTTAAAATAGTTTTACGTTTTATTTGAATTCAAACGTACAAAATTATAGCAGGTCTAGATCGCGCAAAATTCGGCTTTTATCAATTTCAAAGTCTTTTTGTTTATTGTTGCCATAGTGATATCGATTTTAATTAAAACTGCATTTTCACAAACTTCAATTCATGGTCAGTCACAGGTGAAAGTTTTATAGCGATCGGACAGCATTAAAATCACTTTTAAAGCGATTGAAAAATATCTGTATGGCCTCCTAAAATATGTATCAAAACACCTTAAAATGAAGACATAATTTAACTTCCTTTCATAAATCAGCAGTCACTTCCCCTGCCAAATTTCGTCTTGATGCGACATTTTTTAGAGCGCTTTTCGATTGAGTGTCGTAAAACCAAAACCAAAGTAATCACAACGGCCAATTAGAACAAACGAAAATATCAGAGGGAGCCAATGAGAAATCGAAGTAAACGCATGTAACCAGCCTTAAGCGCGGGAAAACGCGAGTAACCAGGTCGCGATTGGTTTTAGTTTTGTATCTGATTGGCTTAGAAGGTGGCGCGAGTTTTCTAGACCACTCACAGAGCACAGTAAAGCAAAACCAATGCAATCCCGGATTTCTTTCGACACTCAATTGAAAATTACTCTAACCAACCATGTGTAGAGAATCGCTATTCCGACAATGGTCTGCCACACGCTGCAACTTCAGTGACAATGATACGCTTTCGAGTTTGACTGCTTTATGGAGCCAGGATACCGATGTACTGATTCTACCTCGTTTTAAATAGCTACTGCCGGTTAGAAACCATGTCTTGTATCTGTGGGGTATCGATTAGTTAGATGGTATGTGAAATAATCAATAATATTAATTCCAGACTCATATGCAACGATAAACATACCAGTGGGTTTTGGTTTTCAGATCTAGAATTACTCAGTGGCTTACTGCCTTACTCAAAAATTTCATGACATCCATTAACAACTTCTCGTCAAAGACTTTTTCACACCACAATGAATGCTCAAAGTATCATTTAAAACCACAGTAAATCCCTGTTACGCGATCCTTGGTTAATGGTTTGTGCGTAATAGTGATGTTTTATTTTCACAACATAGAAGAACAAAATATTGCTAAAACAAACAGGGAATAGATTATTTATACCACATGCGTCCTATGAATTCAGCTGCCAACTTGACCTAAACCAACCAAGTTAACTGAAGACTGGACGATCGATCATTCATCGTTCATCTCGTTTTGCCTCGTGGAATTGATTCCTTGTTACGGTTAGACACACTAATTTTAATATTTATTGCAAATGGGAAAATTTATAACACATCGAGCTAAAAGCACGTCAGTTTGTTTACCTAATGGTCCTCCGCACCCCCTTGGAACTCCTTTAATATATGTTTTGCTTGCAAGCTCAAATGTCACCTATACTGACGTGAGTTTAATTTCTTGGCAATGTTACCACGTAAATTAAATTGCGGGCATTATAAGAACGACTAAAGCAAATAATCAAGCGAACGACAGATCCCATTACAAATGATAAACTCAAACATTCGCTTGAATGAGCGCGGATTTGAATAAGCGAAAAATCATTATCATCCGCTTTTGGCGAACTATCTATTCAGGTAACGCGTTGGATGTGAGTTGGCTATAATGATCTCATATCCAACAAGCGCGAGTGGAATAATTGTTTTATTAAAAACGCCCACAAAATATCGAGAATTCGTCCCGACTTTATTTGTAAAAACAACCAAATTTCAGCTTGTTTTTAATTTTGAGCAGGCGTGTACAGTCACCATATTTCGAGAGCTTGGTATAATAGCTCATATACCATGATGGCTAAGCCAATCAGAGCTCTAGAATTGCATTATCCAATGATTCAGTTTTTAATTTTTTCAAAATCACCAAAACTATTGAGCGAGGACCTAATTGATCCTTTCTTGCCAAACGCCAAAGAGCGCACAAATGAAAAAAGCAAAAAAATGCCTTACCAGTTTAATTTATCATAACAAAATTTTATAACTTCTAGGTCGGTTCATTTTAATAATTGCCATTTACAGTAAACATATAAAAAAAATGCAAGTATATCGTCGACCTTTGTGGTCCAAGAAAAATGGGAAACCTACGTTGAGGACAGCTTGAAAAACAGAACGATTTGAGCCCGATCACTTCCACGGAAAAGAAAGCGACGAGTTTCATTATTTCAAGAGACACTCTTAATTTATCAAAAATAATGAAAACGACTTTTTATTAGTCGATGTAAAAATTGACAACAAAGGCGTTTTATAAGTCGCTTGTTTGAGTGTCGTCACTTTTACGGCACACGCTAGGGTGTGATCTAATGCTGGCTCTTTGAAGAGTGAACCAACTCTACTTACTTTCCTTTCCTGGTGCGGAATGCCGACTTACTCGGGTGCCTATTACTCCGAAAAGCCCTCACTGCGTACATTTCATTAGTTCACGTATACACGCTTTTAAAACATTATAAACAAATATGATAGTATATACCCCTTGACTGATGTACCTATTTCCCGAAAGTTTTACTTTTCTTTCTTCTTTTTTTTTTGTAATGCGAGTGATAAATAAATGCATCATTTACCTGGTTTTTACCATGCAGGGAAAACTCTGCGACGAATCAGCTATTTTAAATTCTTTGGCCTTGTAATGACGCATCCGGAGAGCTTTGATGTTCTTACTTTATAGCCGCCAAACGGGCGATTGCAAGGCTTATTGATCTCCCTGTGAAACTTCTGATTGGCTAGAAATAATTTAATACCAATTGGGATTTTCCCATGCCCTTAATAACTTGCTTCAATCAACAAGCCGACAAGGTGGTAAATATCTGCAAATATATACTTTGTAAAGTAAATTCGGCCGTTTTGTGTCATGACGAAAAAATAAGGTCGGATGGTGTAAGTGTCATTTTTGGCCGTGTTTTGGTGATCACTACTCACTGCCTGTGTGGTGACTTCTAATTTGAAACTTACGAAAACACGCTCAAAACAAGTCAATTGCTAGAAAATTCATTTACAGGATTGCTAAAATCATTTTTTTGAACGATAGTCAACTCAGCTGGCTTTTTTAAACTTTGGAGTTGATTCACTCATTTGCATGCAATTTTCTATTGATAATGATAATAATAATAATAATAAAATTCAGTGTTATGACTAAGAAAACCATTAGCTTTAATGCGAAGACAAAAAAGGGTAAAAATATAATTGAGTTGATTTAAGGGCGCCAATGTGGATTTCATGCAGTTAAATCACTTTAAAGTTGCCTACCCAAACATTCGTAGCGAATAAATATCAAAGTGTTTTCAATTAACAGAATTCACTTAAGATAATCTTTTTTAGATATCTCTACAAAAAGGCCCTGAAAAAATTAAGCGACCGTCCCTCAGTCAGATAGTTTTACTGCTCGCGATCGGTTTAAGTGACATGATCGTTTGGCAGGCTTTCATTGACTCTATAAAAAAATCCTGCGCCAATAAATGCAGAACGATTTAGCGTTGTCTAGACAGCTGACAACCGCTGATTAAGAAACCTTTAATTTCAACAATTTTGAAAACCTTTCTTGGAAAACTCATTTCACCAAAAGTGCGTTGGTTATTTAAAAATAACTAAATTTATTATAATCGAAATTATGTCGTTCTTCTCTATCTATAGGGAATGGATTACAGGCATAAAATGCAATCATTTGCCTCTGTTAGTTATATGTTACAAACTCGCTTGGCAAGTTGCGACAAAAAAAATTACTGCAGAGAGAAGAGTAAAGCGGAAGCTTCTCATTAATTGGAAAATCAGCAGTAAAAAAGAATCATAGATTTCTTGTTTGGTGGTTCTACAAAGGGCTATTAGGGGACTAATGTACTCACTGTTATACTACTCTACAACCAACATATTATGGTATTTTCTGTTGATGCATGTGTACATTAGCTATGAAAATTTTCTACTAAAACTCAGGAAAATCAAAGTAGCAGTACGTACCGAGCAGCCAGAACAATAAAATAAAACACTTTAGAATGCCAAAATGTTATTAATCAAAAAACCTAAAAATGGCTTTTTACCAACTTTTTCACCTATTTGACATGAAATTCTAGACAGATTTGGTTGTTTTATCCTGAAAAGTGGATTTTTTTCAAAAAGTTTGGTACTTTGCTTAACCCATTCGCTCCTGGAGATTTTGCCGAAAAACGCGTTTTGAAGCTAGTCGAGTAGTTTTCTGGTCACTGTCGTGCTATAAAGAGCTAAAACTTACCCCAAACCGGTTTACAGGTCGTACATTTCATGGCCTTCTGATCCAGATGCAAAATATCAGCTTGCCAAGTTCGGGCATGCGCAGAAAGCAAAATTTCAGTCGACTTTTACTTTTCGCTTTCTCTCCTCCCCTCTTTTTTCGCTTTTCTTGCCTCATTTTTTTTTTCTCTTGCTGGGCATTTAGTAGGCTTCATTTTGGTGGGAATAGTTTTTAGGAAAGCTTTTAGGATCTTAGGATTAGGTGAAAGGAAAGGTAGGTGGGCAATGGAACAAGATTTTCATGGAGATTTTCAGGTCAATGTTACATGGTTTTTTGTCCCTTTCTCCGGTGTCCTTGACTGAATTGTGCTCATTCTGGTATGGTTTGAAAGATCTCTTCACTCTGCACAAGTTAGCGGACAAAGTTGTCCTTGACCATTAAAACTGATGACGTCACAAAGAGTAGAAAGGAGGTGGATCCGCACGGGCGGTTACGGGCGGTTAAGGGGCGAATGGGTTAAGGAACTCGAGAAGGCTCATGGAGTATCAGGAACCGTATAGAGATCGAAAGTAAGTGGATGAGATAGAGCATGCGCACTAATGAGTGTAAGATGGATGAGGTGTGGAATATATGTTATAAGGGACACGTTACATGTTTGATTTATCACTCGATCCAAGCTACTGCGGAGCTTCCATGCATATGCCATATACTACCAGTAAGCGTCACCGCGGGGTGGAATATTTCGGTTTATTTTTAGATTCTTTTATCGAGGAACGGCCGGAAATCTTCAAGAGAATCGCTTTTTCTTTGATAGGTTCTGACGACTCTGAACCTAATAACGAAGTTGAAGGACCATCTCAGAGATGAATAGGAAGAGCTACCTTGGCTTTTTTATTCTTTCATTCGCCATCCGCCATTTATTTTCATTGGATGCTGAAAATTTTGCTCTTCCTGACAAATTGTCTGAGACATTTTAGGCGCGGAAAACAAAGACTGCCTCAAAGGCTGGTACTTTGTAACCCAGTCTTTAAAAGAGATGAGAGATGTAACGAAAATTGTAATTGCACGAAAACAAGATAGAGGCGCTTAAGTAGGGAACTATTCAGACGATTATGCACTCCGAATATAAGCTCCCTGATTCAGAACCAGCATTATGAATATATAAACCAGAGCAAACATACGCGCATATTGTCTTGACTTACGCTAGCAGATAAACCACGGTACAAACAGTGGGTATGAAATAGTAGCCATCGTATGAACTATACAAGTAGTACAACCAGGAGATATAGAGGATCTATAAAGTGGTATAACCAAGAGATGAAATCCTCCATCGATATGATATTAAAAGGGGCTATGCTACGAGGATAATGCTGTTTTAGGTCATATCTAGACTGCACATTCACAGTCCCCTATTTTTTCGTAAGGCGGTTACCGGTATGGACGGCAATCTTGGTTTCATATGTACCCAAGGGGCGGGCGTTGGGGTTTAAAACGCAGGCCAAAAGGAAGGCGAGAAAAATATTTTCCTCGCTTCCTCCCAAACCATACCCCGCTCGCTAAGTGGTTTTGACACTCGTCCAAGATGGCTGCCAGTAACGCAAATCGCTTGATTTCAACGATCTTACAAAAAAAATAGTGGACTGTGAACAGTGTAGGACATATTTGCACTGAAGTCATTTATTAGTGCCTTTACCACCCATACACAAAATGTTCCTGCAAGGTTATGAAGAAGGCATAAATCAAACAAATTTCAGAAGGGAACATTAAGCATAATTATTTTTTTTTTGGTGATTTTTGCAGGCATAGCTTAAAACTTGAAAAAGTTTTCCCAATCTTTTCAAGTTTCAATCTATTTCCATCCTTGCCATCTATAGCAACAGACGGCAGGAAACAGCTTCAATGCCTAAACTGATAGTCTTAAACAACAAAACTGGACCACTATTTTTGCAATGCAATTGATGCAAAGACACATTTTAGGTATTTAAATTAGCATGACATAACCTCTTTAAGGTAATACGATGTTGTTTTTCCATCTGCACCACGGCTAATTACTTTTTTCACATCTAATTACGATAGTGTGTTCTGAGGGATCACGAATTGCTCGTGTAACCGTTTGGAAATAAGTGCAATCTTATCTCTTACTCATCAAAAACATGCCATTTTAAGCCCATCCAATTTTCCAAAACAAATTTCCAATATGCCTCCATATTTACGCCCTCGCCCACGATAAAGCAAAAAAGCTGCTCACTTTTATCTCTATGAGCTAAATTAGAGTTTACGGGGAAATACGCGAACACTTCTGTTTAACGTTCAAAAATAGGTGTGTCCAGAGTTAATGAAAATGACGTTTCACTTTTTCCACTTGTTCTAAAGCAAATTGAAGACAAAATTAAGATATACTTACTGCTCAACTCCTGCAAATTATCGTATCTATTTTTTCGTTTCCATCCAGTCAGTTTTATTTTTCATCAAAATCCTTTACTGTTTTAGATGAGCTTCTTAGCTTGCGTATATGTTTTAGCCTAATCAACGGATAAACTTTAGTCGGCAGTATTACTGCCGTTTTGTTATTGCTTCATTGCTTATGCCTCGATTGACACGATTCTACGCCTGGATTATTATTTCAGGAGATCTCGTTTTACGAATGGAAATTGTGCATTGTACTTAAACGTCAAATTATCTTAATTGAGGAAAGAGTGACCTCAGTAATACATTTCTATTTCACTACATTTATACAAGCGATGCGTTAGTTTTTGGTTATATATTTTAGTCAAAATATTACACATAACGTTTAGTTGCTGCTCAATGACGAAAGCTTCCTATTTTGTTTTGCGTGGTTTACATGATTAAATCTTCATACTTTTAGTTTTCAACTGTTGTTTTTGCATTAACTCAGTCAAAAGCTTTGTTTCTAAAGATTTCTTCGAACTAGCTGTTAATAAGTATTTAATGTAACTACGAGGAAAAGAGGCCTACCTTGTAACATTGTAGATTTTCTAAGTAAGGTCTTTAAAACCGCCGAATTGGCTTTCCAGTATCATGACTAGAACTAGGTTGTTTTTCACTAACAATTCACAGCTGTTTTGACTCCTCGTAGATTAATTTGCATGTGAAATTTATATTATATCGAAGTGTGCTGTGTGTCTCAGCAAGATATGGATTGTATGGAAAGCGATTAACATTTCCGGCGGAAAAGTATCGGTCATTTATATTTCTGGCCTGTCGCAGCGTTCTTTTAATTATACAAGGAAATATTTTTGCTATTCTTTTTCTCTTTTGGGCGCTTTTAAGACAACTCTTTCACATTTTTTCTCGATCGTAGTCGCTTTCTTCAGAAAACAAACATGACACTTTGAATCGGAATTGGTTTTCCCTGGTAATATCCGTTGGGCCGAAATTAAGTGATGTAAATCAACATGTCCGGCCTCTGACATCAGATCGAGAATTTTTTTATTGATTTGTAGACATTTAAATTTTTTTCTTGTGTAAATTGCCTCCATATAATGTTTTCATTTAGAAAGACTGGCCAAACTTTGAGACGGAATGAACTTTCTTAGCAGATCTAGAAAGATATTGAACAACTGAGAGGCAGGGTGCACTGAGCATCGAATTTAAACTCAGCTATTACTGTTAAACATTCAAATAAAAAAAACTTTTCAATGTTGAAATAGTGAACATATTTCGCCAGTCGCGTGGCCCTTCCTTTTAAATATCTACAATAACCCCGCCTGTTACGAGCATGTACATGTTGCGTTTTCCTTACAGTATAGTGTTACATCAAAGGCTCTCAGAAAGACATTCAAAAACATCTTTCAGAACTATAGCAAGGTACAGGGAAGTGAATAACGGAGATGTGAACGGAGATATGAACAAAGTCTACGGAAACTTCAGCTTCCTATTTGGTTCAGTATTAAAGTACGTGAAAATATATTTGTCGCGTGGGCAAAAAAATAAATACTAAAAACCAATTCAACAGCAAACGTACGTCTTAGAATTTAATTAAGCACACCAATGATAATGTCCCTATATATTCGATATACTCCAACTTGCACATCGTCTGATAAACAATGTTAGGACCATATACAGGGAAAAATAATTTAGACGCGCTTATTACGTGAGCGGATGCCTCTTAAGATACAAACTGTACAATATGCGAAATAACGTATTAATGTGCCTTAGCTAAGCGGGCTTAAAGTCGCTCCTTATTTAAGACGCGAGATATTTTTTTTGGCCACTCACGTGAGAAGTTCGAGTCTTATTTTTCCTTGTGTAAATAGCCCAAAAGAAGATTCATCAAACTAGCTGTGAGGGAACTTTCAATCCTAAACTTGTGTTTGTTCTCGTTTTACCTTGTATTGTGTCAGCAAATTCTTGACAATTTTTTTTGGCACAATGCTAAACTAACAACACGAGGTTTATAGTCGATCAACTGGTCTTGATATATATCTCGTCTACCCACGATCATTGGCCCTTTTTCAGCCAAATGCATTTGATACAGAATGATATGCCTGACATCGCTTTGTTTACTGGTGAATACGTATAATCCCAATTTAAGATTTCGATTAATTTTGCCTTCCGAAGCTTTTATGGGTTTAGGAAGGTTGCTTTAGCTTAAGTATCACACGATTAATAGAATGAAAATGAGCATCTTTCAACCCACTGGGATCACCTGTCAGTCTGTAGCGTTTTTAAAACCCTAAGCAGTATACAGTGGAACCTCGATATAACGAATGGCCCAAGGACTGGCAAAATTTGTTCGCTATAAAGAGGTTTCGTAATATCGAGTTTCTTATTCATATATTTTACTATAACTGGGGTAAAGAAAATGGTTCGTTATATCGCGATCGATGACTTCGTTGTATAAGAGATCGTTACTGCATATCCAGGTTCCACTGTAATAAGATTTCGTTATATAGAGGTATACCTTCCCACATGTTTTTCTATTACTGGAGAGGGGCCGGGAATATCGTTCGTTAGTACCGATCGAGAATTGAACTTCGTTGCATATAGCCCTGGTTCTTTAAATCGGGGTCCTACTGTAGCTGTAAACAAACCTTAAACAGGGGACCGGCGGGCGGCCACAAACGCATCCATTCGGTAAATCAGGTGTAATTCTTCTCTTCGCGTTGCGTCGGCTTTTGAAGTGCGCATTTGAACAGTCGAAGAGCTGGTCAGTTATTTGCAAAACAAAACTCAATAGAACACCCGAAATTACCGTGGAAAGTCAAACTACATCTAATACCTGTGTAATTAATGGCAAGGAAATATAATACGGCTGTATACACAGCCTGCCTGTGACAGTTTGTTTGCATTACACTAAGACCAAGAATGTTGTGTATAGTGTAGTTTGGTAGCATGTGATTGTACTGACTCTTATAGTCTTAGGCCCCAGTGTCAACATTTGCGACAAATACGCTTAGCTTTCGTGTTATTTAAGTTTAATTGTGAATTCGAACTAAATGGCCATGGGATATCCATCTTTTTTCTGTGGAAAAAAAAGTTCTAAACCTGGATGGCGGGAGAACTAAACAAATAGAAATATGAGACATTTCAGTCGCTGTCCATCGCGACAGCCAAACTGCTATCCATATTTGGAATCAGATGTGGCTGTTTTTCACGTGAATGACTAATCCTGGTCTTAATTAAAGGAGCAGCGTCAAGAATTTACCCGAATGAGATCGAACCGTAGGAACTGCAACCAAACTGGGTGAAACATAATAATTACCGGTCAGAACCTTAAAAGCTGGTATAAATAACAAGGCAAGTACAATAGGCTTTTTTAAAAATATCATGATAATACTCTTTGTAGTCCCTCCAAAATTTGGCAGATGCTTTGTTTTCAATTTCTCTTGGGACTTACAATCGCTGCAAGAGAAATTCAAAACAATGCTGATGCAAAATTTTGGAGGAACAACAAAGAGTATTATCAAAAGTAGTTTGAGTTTGATCGTCCGGGTGAACGTAGTCCTGAATAGGACTGTTGTTGTTGACAGTGACTGACGTTTCGACAACCTGTGTGGTAGTCATCTTCAGAGTCTGAATATGATTACCGCACAGGTTGTCGAAACGTCAGTCACTGTCAACAACAACAGTCCTATTCATGACTACGTTCACCCGGACGATCAAACTCAACCTACTTTTGAAATGACACCTGGGTTCAAACCTTTCACAAAGAGTATTATCATGGTTTTTTGAAAAACGGCTATAAAAAGCTTGAATGGGCAGACGTGAAGACGAAAAAAATGGATCGCATTTGTGGGTTTTGAACTTGGCCTAACAATTTTCTTAGACTAGACTTTTATTCGGCTTGTAACGGTCGATATACTGCGCTTAAGGCATGCATATTTGTTGGAAATGAAGTTGCGATTTTGTCATTCACAAGTAATTTCCTCGCTAACGTTAAGTTCCAGGGGTAAATGCTGTACTTGTGGCGGGAGTAGCCATACGAATAAAACTACTGAGGGCAATCAGGCTAAAGTGATTTGAAATAGATAATACACAACACAACGGAGATAAAAAAAAATCCCTAACTTGTAAGGGAGAGCCAATTAGCCATTTAGAAGCACCCGGTTCGAAGTTTTGAACCCGGGACAGCCCGACAAACAAATCGAGCTAGTGCCGGTCAGAGCGGGAGTAGATATCAGGACACATGTTTGTGCAAGTACAACACGCTACTCACTCGACCACGCTGCCTTACTATTAAGAGTAATATTTTTTGAACATTCGCGTCATAGTCTCACAAAATATCTGTTTAAAACGTGACAGCCTTAATGCTACGCAGTCATAGGAAACTGCCGGATATGATACGAACGGTTTGAAAAACATAAACAATGAATAAATAATGAAGAATTACCGAATGCACGCCCAAATACATATGCCATATCAGAAAATGTATAGTTGAGCAACGTTTTAAAGAACTTGTTGGTCGGCACAGTATTGGCAATTGCAAGTTCCGCGACAACCGACTTGAAAGGCCTCGACGCTCAGTGAATAATATATTATAAGGCAAAGTAGGCAGATAAATAATGAATGCCATAGCAACTTCTGATACAAAATAAGATAATGACAGTTGGCACCTTTGAGCTCCCTTATTTATATAAAGTTTAAAACGATATAACATTTCATCGTCCCCGCTTTATTTGAACTGTTTTCACTAACATATTTGTAATCACATAAAGCCTATATATATAGATGTAATGTTTAAACGTCGTCAGTTAGGTGTCAACATTACAACCCATTACTAAAGGGAATTTATTACTAATCGGACTTTCCGCTTTTGGTTCTTAGTGCCGTTAAAAATTAAAGAGATTTCATGTTCTACTTTTCTGGCAAAAAAAACTTTGTCCTGATGAAAGAAAGTAATCAAGGTCATGTTTTGCCCTCAGTTGTGTCAGAAGGAGTGGGCGTCTAAGACGACGAACAAGCAAAAAGTTACGTTTTTTTTGTACGCTAAACACTGGGGAAGGCGGCCAGGCAAGCTACAGACGTCCTCTCTGCCCACACGCAACGTAGCTCAACGTCTACTCAGACGCAACGAAGGAAACCTAAAAATGCAGGAAATAACAGCTTTTGGCCTCTGACCGGGTGGAATGGAGTAGATCCGTGACGCGGTGGTCGCTTGCACAGCAGTCGAAAGCTGATAGCATTTCACAGCAAAGAACACATTAGATTAAGCTTATAAGGGTACTAGCCTACCTTCTGAAGTTAACCAGCTCAATTACAATGCTTCCTTCAGTCTTTGCTTATATCTTAGTAGAAGACGCCTTTTTACAAATAATGGACATCGTGTTTTGTAACTAGTTGAATTGTACACGATGCTCTCTGCTACCAAACGGTAATAAAAAACAAACCTCTTTGTAAGCTTACGTGCATAAACACACAAACTGACGTAAATTAGCTTCTTGCACTAGATAATGGCACTTGGCTTAAGGCCAGAAGATATCATTGTAACAATTGGGGTTTTGAATCGTGTTCTAATTAGTTTTATTGTGAGTCAAGTTATGTAGCAGTATAGCTGTCATAATAGAACTATTCTGGCGAACTTGAGCTCTCGAAAACCTGTTCATTCAATTGTGCTTTTCACTG